TGATGCTGAGTGACGAAGATTTCCAGATTGGTTTCAGGTTGATGAATGTGTTTCTCACCTTTCCGATTCTCGATTTGACATCCTCGTCCGTTACTCCTGTAGTTGAGACAATGCTCCCTAGATAAGTGAATGAAGTAACTTCTTTCAAATCCCTCCCGTTGATGGTGATTGGCGCTGGATGTTGCTGCTGCTGTTGTTGTTGTTGGTTGGTTATTTTCATAACCTCCGTCTTGTCTATGTTCACCTGGAGTCCTGTCTTTGCTGCTTCTTCAACCAGTTTGTCGGTTTTCGCTTGTAAGTCTTCGATTTTGTGTGACATCAAACATAAATCATCCTTCCGATATTGCACTATAAGCTGAGAATTCCACACAGTTTTAAGAAATGTTGTCTTGAATGAAGACATTATTGTCATGATAATTATTATTATTACATATCTGATAGTCAGCTGATGAGCGAATTAATGCACATCTTGTAAACTTTCAGTGTTATATACCAGGAAGATATAAAGATAACTTCAAGAATTTATATATATATACATATGAGAATGAAGGTAATACTAATATATGAGTAGTCACTATTATTACCATATTTTTGATCTCTTGTGTTCCGAGTGAAACATAGGGCTTCAACATCATATCCCCAAGTCATCGCATTGTCTGCAGTCCTCTTTAGATGGCTCAACAATTGCCCAAAGTCTTTTATTACCTCCTCGCACGACCTCCACCATGTCACTGTCGACCGGACGCCAAACTCATCGCTTTCCATTCGAGCAATGGTCTGAAGCGTGATTTCACTCAACGGTCAACTCAACGTGTGTCTAATCTATGTTCATTTTCGTCAGCATATCTGTAAGGTCTATTGGTTCGTTAGAGTTGCTTGTTGCTAATTCTTTCTGGCCATTTGATCTTCAGTATGGAGTGTAGGCAGCTACTGATAAAAGTATGCGTCTGGCTGCTGTTGGAAATGCTTTTGGTAACGCGCGTGTCACGTTTTTGACCCATATATCGGAACTGACTGACATTAACATTGGTGTTGAATGATGACTTTTATTCTAAATGATGAGCGTAGTGTATGTCCAAAGTAATTTCAGAGTAGTGAATGCCATCCTCATACGCTCCGCTTGTGTTTGACAGGGTGCTGCAAAGTTAGGTTGAGGAAGGGACCTCTTTCAAATTTATTCCTTTGGTAGTTATTGTGCTTGATGTTGTCGGCTGGTTATTCTCATCACCTGTCTTCTCTGTGTTCACTTGAAATCCTTGCTTCACTGACTCCTTCTCCTGCCAGTTTGTCGGATTTCACCTGCAATTTTTCGAGTTTGTGTGACATTAGACATAAATCATTCGTGAAGTTCAGATCTTATAGAAAGTTCATATCACTCCAACATTTTCAAGTTTTCTTGCTCCCCAATAACAGTGTGTCGCATAAACCTGTCCATCAAAACTAGCAATATAATTTGTAAAGAATGGATACTGAACAAAGAGTACTCTTTTCGATAACTTCATCATCAGGCTCTACAGTTATATATACATTATAGTGAATGAATGAATTAGTGTTATGAACAACAACATTAACGTTGTTTAAATAACATCGAATCAATAATATTGATAGATTACAGCTCAATAGCATCAACATGAAATTAGCTGAATGTCAGAAAAATTAGGAAAGATAATATTACAAATTCACGAATTCATAGTTTCTACTGAAGGCATGCCAGGGCAGTAGTAGGGGCTGGACTTGTTTCTTTTGAACACAGAGCACTGGTTGTTTGAGGCGAATTGCAATAGCCTCTGCTGTTTGGAGCATGCGGTGCTTTGATGTTTTTGGCAATTTATTAAGGACCCGGTAGATTAAAGAGAAGGATTCTTCCACTCTGGCTTTGTGGCCGGTTTGCGCCAGATGGTTCAATATCGAGCTGTTAATACTTTTAACTACACCTTTACTTAGCCATAGTGGGAGATGTTCTCGAGCACGAAAAATCAAGTTCCTAGAGCAACGGCCAAATAACTCGCTCAAGCGCAGTGAATTGAGATACAATTTGAAGTGGTTAGTCTAGGTACTTCATCTTTCATTCGAGGTAGCACCATCAGTCCTGTAGAGAATAAGACGTGTAGTTCGCCAGCATTAAAAGTTCTTTGAACTGATTTTCATAATTTCCTCGTAATTATCTCACTTGGTATATCGCCCTTGAATTGTAGTCGTATATAAAGTGGCTTCTTGTTTACAGATAGTGAGTAGTCCTTTTCCGCTTTCTTTGTCATATGTTTCTTGATAAATTTGTCGGGATAGCTATTTTCGATCAAAGTATCATATACAATGCTTAATTCATCTTCAATTACTTCTTCTGAGCATATAGCTCTAACTCTGTGGCTGAGGGTCTTCGCTAAATTTCTTTTGTACTTGATAGGAACGAAGCTGTGAAAGTGTGTATATTGTCCTGTCCAAGTGCTTTTTCTATGCAAATTTCTTTTTATGCTACCATCTGGTTTTCTTGTAAGGAGGACATCCAGGAAGGCAATTCTGTCTTGGGATTCCTCTTCGCATATGAATTTCATAGCCGAATGTACTTCATTGAATTCAGTAATTATTGTACTCCTATCAGAACCATTATCACAAAGAATGAAGGTATCATCCATATATCGGCAATAAAATGAGAGCTAACTGATTAGGTTATTCAGAGGTTCATTTTCTAGCTTACTTAGAAGGAAATCAGCCAGAATGGGACCAAATTGGGAGCCCATCGTCACCCCGTCCACTTGCCTGTAAAGCATGCCGTCAAATTTGAAGTTTACATTCATGGTACACCTTAATATCAATTCTTTTAGGATTTCAGTATGAATGCCAATGTTTATCGACTGCTTGTCCACTTGTTCACATATATGTAATTAGCTCTTTCTATTAGAGGTAAATTTGTTAGTTTTCTATGACTACAAATATTAGGTGGTATAAACTGGTGATAACAGACAGGCTGCAATAAAAACCCTTGCATTTCTTTTAGAACTCTTGCATAATTCCATATATTCCTTCGTTTCTATACAACTCATTCACGAATTTATTCATCTTATAACCTAACTGTAATACACCTATTTAACTCCCCTTATGCATACATACCAGTGGCCGACTGTAGAACACTACTCTCAGCCATGATGCGAAGAATATTCTCAAAGATGCTGAGATTCTTCTCTTACTAATCTCCATCTCCACCTCTCCCACTTATAATTTGATTTCATACATTTATTCCCCTTAATGAATTTGAACAAAGCAAAAACTACAGTTTTAGCAGAATAAAATGGTACCATCTTTTATTTCGTCGCCTTCTCGTCAGCTGCTTACAGGGCAAAGACATTATCTACAAAAACAATTTTAACATACTTGCACAGAGTTCATTTTAAACAAAAAACCAATCGATCAATATACGCATACACTAATAATATATACATATATATACAATTTAAAATTTCGAACAATAATAACCATACACAATGATTAAGCAAATTTTTGACTAAATTTATGCTCCAACAGATACATTAATTGTATATACAGTTGGAGTTAACATGATTTACAAGAGCAAGTTGTTCGATAGACGAGAACAAGCTTAGCTGCAGATAATTATTTTTATTTTTGTTATCATTATTTATCACATTCATTTTGAAATATTTTGATGACGTCAACAACAACAACAACCCTAACTAATTTTTATTCCTATCGGACAAAAACCTAATGTACACATATATGTACAAAAATAATTATATATAATTGTGATTGTCGGGCTACGTGAATGAATTCGCTGCCCGAAAAAAAGAGACTCTTCGCTGAACTACGCGTGTTTTGTTATTCATGAATAAAGAATGAATTGTTCTATAGATTAAGAGATATAACATCTTTCTGCTTACATTCTCGTAATTTTTCACAGTTTTGTTAAGAAAACCAAAAATCTTATGATTTTCTCATAGATTTGTTATTGTCCTTTGATAAATTACATTTTTTATCTAATGATACCATAAACCATTTCAAGTGGCTTCAGATAAATGAACACATAAATAAAACTCATAAATTCATCGTTATAACTGATCATCATATCGTTAATATTTTGTTTTAATCTAAAGGTCAGTAGCCGATTAAAAATTAAAAGGATGGCCCAGTTTCATTATTATTATTATTTCCTTTAATTCCTAGAGGAACATAGGGCTTCAGCCATGCGTCTCCATTGCGTTCGGTTTTCTGCTGTAGTTTTCACCTGGCTCCAAGTCTGCCCACACGCTTTCAATTCCTCTTCACATGATCTCCTCCAGGTCACCCTTGGACGACCAACTCGTCGCTTCCCTTTCGGGTTCCACTCGATGGCTTGTCTAGTGATGTCACTTGCTGGTTTCCTCAGAGTGTGTCCAATCCATCTCCATTTCTTCCTGCCTATTTGTTTCACGATCGGTTCCTGGTTGGTTCGCTCCCAGAGATCTTTGTTGCTGATCCTCTCCGGCCATTTGATCTTGAGTATTGAGCGAAGGCATTTGTTAATGAAGGTCTGTAGCTTGTTTGAGCTGCTCTTTGTGACACGCCAAGTCTCTGATCCGTATAGTAGTACTGACTTCACATTGGAGTTGAAAATACGGATCTTATTTTTGACGCTGAATGCTGTTGACCTCCACATAACTACTTTTTTGGCTGTTATGGCGTTATTTTTTTTTCCAATTTCATTAACTACCCTAAACTCTTCATAATTCATCAGTCCAAAGGTTGTATTTTGAGCATAAAATGGTTTTTTTGCAATAGTAATATGGAGAGAAAAAAGTTGAGAAATGTAAGAGATGAACAAAAGTCAACCCGAAATGGTTTTTTCAATATACCCCTCTGATACTTATATATATAGACGTGCTTGCTATTCAGTTATCTGAGTGGTCTCCCTTTCAATCATGATTCTACTACGCATTCTATCACTGCTACTAATTGAAGCTTCAATTGTCCACTTACTGCCGACTGAAAGCAACCAGCTAACTTTAGATGAAATAACCGAATACATTAATCATCATGTAAGTCTTCTTCTGCTTGATTTAAGGTTTATTGTTTCTTACGTACCGTACAGTCTGCATTATTCGGAGAAACTCTACTCCAAGTCAGAGGCGTGTAATGAGCTTTTAGGGGAGAATGATTTGATCTTAGCGCAATTATATGAATGATGAAAGCCAAAGTAGTTATTGATTCATGGAGTGTAGCGTCACGCCTCAGGATGTCATTGAGAATCTGCGCTGTTACAGGCTGCGCATTAAGCATTTAAAAGACTGAGCTTAGTGAACAAAGAATATTTTTTTCGATAACTGCTTCGTCCTCAGGTTCTACACTGATATAACCATGAAAGTTAGAGAATTACTGTTATTAACAATAATAATGCTGTTTTAAATCACACTGAATCAATAATACAGATAGATTACAGCTCAGAAGCCTCAGAAGACAGAGATAATATCTACTGATATAACACTAAAATGAATATCAGATAAGTTAAGGGAAGTAACGTAGAATTCAGGACTTCATAGGCTCGACAGCAAGCCAGGGTAGCAAAAGTGAATGGACTTGTTTCTTTTGCACTAAGAGCTCCGGTTGACTTAAGCGAATTACAATGGCTTCTGTTGTTTGGAGCGCTTTATATCTAGAAGCTTTTGATAATTTATTCGATATCCAGTAGGTGATCGAGAAAGATTCTTCACTGTTAGCGCTTTGTGGTCTGTTTACACAAGGTGGTTCAAAATGGAACTGTTAAAGGTCTTGACAACACCTTTATTCAACCACACTAGTAGGTGTCTCCGTGCATGGAAAATTAGGTTCCTAGAGAAACAGCCAATATGATGGGCTCCAAAAGAGCATTTACATTTATAGATATAGTTATAAGTGGCTAGCCATATATGCTTTGTCTTACACTTTCGGAATCAAAACCAGTTGTCTGGAAAATATAAGTTACAGCTTCCCGGTATTATACCTTCTTTGGATCAATTTTCTCGAATTGTTGGTTATGTCACTTGGTATATATCCCCTCTGAAATGTAGTCATATATATAGAGGCTTCTTGTTAAAAGATAAAGAAGAATTGTTTTCCACTCTCTTTGCCATGTGTTTAGTAATTAATTTCCCATGGTGGCTGTTTTCAGTAGACGCTTCGTATACGATCGTAAGTTTGTCTCCACCCTCATCTTCTGGACAAATAGCTCTGATCCTATAGCTGAGGGTGTTTACCAAATTTCTTTTATACTAGAGTGGAATAAGGATATGAAAGTGTGTATACTGACTGGCCCAAGTACTTTTCTTATACGAATAACTTTTTATGCTACCGTCTGGTCTATCGAACCTAGTGCTACTTCTATGTTAGGAATGACATCCTCTGGTTTTAATTTACTCACTGTTACATTGAAATTTAGTCCTTTCTCAAGTACTTTTATCTCACTAGAGCCTAGTTCCCTTGATGAGAGGTTGATCACCCAGTTTTTTCTGTCAACAGAGGATGAAACGCTGACGTCAGTTTCATTTATTGTGTTCTTTTCTTCTATTAGTTTGTTGAATTTTTGATTTGTGTGGTTTTTGATTTTCTTAATGCTGATTCTCTAGCTTTTTCGGATGTTTCAACAACGATTACATAATCTTTGTCACTGACCATACATTTGAGTTTCTGTTTGAGTTTTTCGATTTGATTTCGTGTATTATTTAGTTTAACAGTAATTCGATATAGTTCTTCTCTTAGACATAATCTACTGAGATGTTCAGCTGCTGACGATATTTTTCTTGAAGTAATTGGAGTACGTAGGCGTAAATATTTTGGAATTATGTGCTTCTTTAAACATCGACTGTTAAAAATCCGATGGTTTGTGAATCTTGCTTCTGTTTTATATCAATAACTACCGTCTGGTCTTATTGTTAGTAGTAGGAAGTCTAAAACCGTAATTTTACTTTGAGTTTGCGCTCCACATGTGAATCTGATAGCTGGATGTACTTCATTGTGCTCCTGTCCATTAGTCAGGTAGTATTACTTGCCTTGTTTTCGTCAAATAATATATATATATTTATATATGCCTTTCGTCTTGAAGTCATTCTGTACTTTCCAATGATTGATATTTATAGGACTGAATCGTTGAGTCACTGTTGATATGCTGATGCTTAGTATGGAGGTATCAATGATATCTCAAAGGTTAACATTGATGCTATTTAGTTGATAAATCAACTGTCCCCATTTTTTGATTAATTTCCCCATAGATGTACTCGCAGTCAATGACACTAACTGACTTTAGCAACTCATGGATTATTACTTGTTACCAAGGAACAAACAGTCTTGTTAACTTGGAGTACGCAGGTGATATTGTCTTCCTAGATGGAAACACTTAAAGAGAATGCAAAGTCATCTGGACACCTTGAAACTAAATTTTCAGGTGTTTGCCACGTGATCTTATCCTGTCAAATGTAAGATGATGCTGCAGTACTTTTCTACATTGACCCCTACCTTCAAGAGAGGCAGCGGCGAAGTAGTGGACCATGTCGATCACTGATGGACAAGATAACCCTGTTCGCCTTTATGACTTAGAGATATGGACACTGAAAATGAAAGATGTGAAAAGGTTAGTTGTCTATGAATATGAATGTCAGGTGGTATAAAATGGTGAGTAACATTTTGGTTGGGTTTACAGTGTTTTATAAGGAGGGTAAATCAACTAATGAGGTTGGGAAGGTACATCGATTCAGATGTCAAGCCGCCAGTTTCCTCGACAAACAGTGCTGGCAGACAAAGGAATAGGATTGAAAATAGTTAGGGTTGGTCAGACTGAAACTTGATATCATTCCATGAAGATCTTAACAGTTGGTTTGATCCACTTAGAGAGGTTTAAACCGACTAGTTCGAGTCCTCGGAATGCTAATAACCAATGGCTTGACAATGCTGGTGTATGGCTTAAAATGTTGCCCTTCTATATCCATCAAACTGCCATGATTTTTCCCGTGTCACTTTAGTTTCTCGTTCACATGAATCTCTTTTTTCCCTAATTTGTCTATCTTTGTGTACCTCATGGAGTGTGTTGACTTGAACAGCTGCACTTCTGTGCTAAGTTCTATGTTGTTGCTCAGTCAGTCAGTATTTATTTGATGTTGATTTGCGGAAGAATCCAGTATAAGCGAAAGCTGACCCATGTGGAACTCGTCAGATATGTAGGGCCTAAATCCCCATGTAAGTGATGGTATTCCCTTCACTGAGACTCGAAACCACATTACTCATCATTTCAGGAATAAACCTCCTTGATTCCACTGCGAAGTATTATCAACCAAACGATAGATACATTATTATAAAAAGTTTTGTAGTTTCTAATGAATGTAAAACAAGACGATATTGTTTTTGCTGACGTTTCGCCATCTAGTAGAAAAGCAGGAAATTGATAAAGAAGGTATTATAGTAAGCTATGATATTAACTTATTATACACTGGTATCCCCAACACCGAAATTCTTCATATCATTTCCAGTTTAATGGAATCAGACACAAATCTATCAGAAATATGCCCACTGGACACCAGCGAAATAATTAAACGCTTAAAATTCTGTCTGGAAAGTAATTATTTTAAATTTAAAGAGAATTTAAATAGACAGACAGATGGTGTTACTATGGATTCACCTATTTCTTCAATAGTCACTGATCTTTTCACGAATACATTTGAAGATAACATCTTTTCAAACATACTCACAGCTAAAATATGGTTAGGGTACGCTACTGATACTTTCTCTGTACTAAAAGGAGACCTACACAGTTCATTTTTGAAGAATCTGAACAGTCTATTTCCCAGCATTCAGCATACTTCGGAAATACAATCAGACTTCGATGAACTACTCTTTCTAGGCTGCCTAGTTAAGAGGAAGGAAAATGGATATTTTAATATATCTATATTAAGGAAGAAAACTCACCCCAACGAATATTTAGACTTCGGGTCATCACAACCCATCAGTGCTAAGGTAGCAGTTGTTTCAAGTCTTCTGAGACAGGTACACTCTTTGATAACGGATGATAAGGAAAAAGAAGAAGAAATATCAAACATTACTGAGACTCTCAAGCAAATAACTACCCAAAGAACTACATCAACAAAATCAACACTGACGTTAAATATGGTCTAAAACGTATTCCGAAAACATGTGCTTCTACAGTTGTCATCCCACATAGATCAGAGACCTCAGACGATATCAGAAGTCCACTCATTAAGTACGAAATGATGGACTAAGACAGCGAGTAAGCTGGTTCCCACACCCCACCTCACTTATAAAGCAACACAATCAACATAAATTATGCATGAACAACTTCATTATGTAATTATAATTATAGTTATAATTTTATACACCTATCAAATCCAACAATCTACACATGGTTTCATTATCTTTAACAGTTGACCAGCTCGACAACAACTTAAAAATTACCTCATGTTGGAGAAAGATGATTAAGCTGCTATATGTATAAGCTGAAATTTTGTAAATTCCGGTTTAATAATACTTCCTTAATAAAGCTATTAGCAGCATTAAATAGCGAAAAGTCAGTGAAAACAGCAGGTCTGGCGTGAGGACAAATAATCGCAAGCGACGACATCGGCTAGTGGTCGTGCTATGTCGTGAATTGGCAGAAGCTGAAATTCATGGGCCGTTGGATCGGGTCCCAGAGGCTTAATGGTCTACGAGCTAGCTCGCTTTGTAACCAGAATATCCTGGGTATGAACCCCAGTTGTTACGTGCTTCTGATGAGTCCCAAACTGGGACGAAACATCTGTCCAGTATTCCCAGGTTTCCCAGTGGTTCTGTAACCGATGTCAGCACATAATGAAATCGTGTAACCAATATCGTTATGTTTCCCGTTCATTAAGAAATACAAAAACTTTTAGAATAATAAAAATCACACACCCAATGCCCAAATAATTTCATGCTATATAAAACGAACTTGGTTTGGACGTATACAAACAATATACATATATACATGTCAAATTATTTCACTTCATTTAATTGATTTTTTTAGCCATCAGCTGGATGGAAAGCTGAGAAATATTCACGATTTCAATCTATTGAAGATGCTCGTCATGCATTAGGCTCATTACTTTTAAAAGATTCCGCCGAAATTAACAAAAAGGTGCCAGTTATCTCTCATAAACATCTAGAAGTTAAACTGCCAAAAAAATTTGATGCACGTAAAAAATGGAAAAATTGTTCAAGTATAGGCGCAGTCTATGATAGTTCACGATGTAATTCAGTCTATGTAAGTTTGTTTTTAAAAAAATAGTTACCCTCATTCTTTTAATTCAGTCTTGTTTTTCTCGTTGGCATGTTGGCTTCTAGTTGGCAGTTTTCCTCCTTATTTGGGACTTGTTATTCGGATGTACCTGTACTTCCAAGTGTGTGATGGTATTCCCACTGTGGCTGAATGGTATACAAGCTCGACTTGTAACCAGGAGGTCCTGGGTTCTAACTTCCAGTGATGGATGTGTACTGCCGATGATTCCCAAACTAGGACGGAGAAACAGCTGTCCAGTACTCCAGTGCTGGTTTTCAATGGTTCTCCAACTGATATCAATCCGTGGTCAAACTAGTAAAAACAAATCTATTCCTTACAAACCAACTATAGAAATCTATGTTTTAATGAAGATATGATAATACTATTAAGGGATGATAAGAGAGGGGTTTAAAATATAAGTAAGGGGTGGTGGAGACATCATAAGTTGGTGTTAGGTCTTGATAGGCTGACAAGTGAGGGATAATGTCTACACGAACTTCTTATGGATGAATGCGTAGTTTAGGCTTAGCAGTTCTAATGCCCATCACCTCAGCTGTATGCAGCAGACGAATACGAATTCCACTGGAAAGATTCAGTGGGATGCAATGAATAGCTTTTTATAAATGGATTGAAAAAAAACGAAAACTAAGGAGTCGAACCGAATTAAATCCATGATAATTGTAGAGCTCTAACTAGTTTATTTTCAACGCATATCTCCGGCTTTTCGATGTATATAGTCAGGACTTTTAAAGTACAAAGAGGTCGGAAACACACTGCCTTGGGTAGGTTTTTGTCTAAGCAGTGTTACACAATCCTATCTGACCTGAAGTGCAAACCAATCGATTATGATGTTTCTTCTTTTTCTCCTTCCAGAAATGCCTATAATAGAAATTTCAGGAGTACATTTTGTGAACCAAAGGCACCATTCAGGAATGGTCATCTCATGTATTCGGATAAGCCGCCCTCCAGGAAAAGGCTTTTTCTCATGTTTAGTAGAAATTTGAGAATCAGTAGCTTTTGAACATTTTAAATACTCGCCAAACTAAACAAAACGATTCGAGGTCATATTTTTTTTCTTGAGTTAAACAAAATGAATTGGAGAAATTATATGGAATGTACTGACGGAGGTTTTCGATAGCTCAAGTTTTAGGCAGGCCGCCGATGATTATGACACCAAACTGATCATCCAAAATACGAGGTATATCTGAGGAACATGAAAATCGTAGTGCGATGAAGATTGCTCAGCAAGCAAGCGAGCTAGCTAGCTAGCCAGCCAGAGTTCACTAATGACCAGACAGGAAAAGACAGGCTACCGAACGCCTTGGATGCTTCAACTGCAAGCCTTCAGCTGAACTGCTTGACTTAAACAGTGAAGATCAGTATGCATCCATTCAATGAAGAATGCTGTAGGCTGTCAATAATTTCGGGTGGAATTATTTTACCGCTCCATACTCTCTCCCATCCATTCATTCGATTACTCTTCTTCCCTTTTTTTTTTGCTTTCTCAGGCCATGGTTGCTGCAGCTACAATGAGTGATCGTATATGTATTCAATCTTATGGGAAAAAGAATATCACACTTAGTTCAATTGATATAGTTTCATGTTGTACTGATTGCGGTGATGGTTGTCAAGGTGGTTATTATCTTAAACCATGGGACTTTTGGTTAACAAAAGGTATTGTCACTGGCGGGACAAATAAATCAACCAACAGTTGTCTACCTTATCCATTCCCAAAATGTGAACATGCTCACACTAAAGGAAAATATCCTGAGTGCAAGTCAGGCACGCCTAAAACACCAAAATGTACTAAAACATGTCAGCCTAGCTATAAAGTGAAATATGATAATGATAAACAGTATGGTAAGTGAGTGAATAATCTTTGAGTATAATTGGTTTTATTTATCGACGAAATCATCTTCAGAGGTTGTGAACAGATGTATTTATATTCACCGAAAACACGTCTAGTAGTCCATTATGGAGTATTAGGGGTGACATTGTCGATATATGTTTACTTAGAAGGGGCTTCAAAATAAAAATTATATAATCGATGGTGAACTGGGGAGACTTCGACAAGTCCTCATGGAAAATGGATATCCTTTAAGATTCATTGAGAAAAACATGAAAGTAAAGGAAAAACCCGAAAGAACTTAGACAGTGTCAAAGAAACTGCTATTCATGAACTCTGAATTTAAAGGTGGTGCTGAAGGTGAGGTTCTGAAGAACCGCTGCTTATCCAGATCACTGAGAAAAGTCTTCTTCTCAGTTGAGCTACGGACCGGCTTGTACAGCCAATAGATGACAAGTGGATGTGAGAAGGATCAGCTATCGCTTTACGTCACTTCAGTGTGTGTTTATAAATTCACATGCTTCTGTGGAGCTGGTTATATTGGCCGTAAACTTTCCAAATGCATCTCTGAACATTATCCAGCATGGTTAGCGAAAGGAGGATTCCTGATTAATCTATTATGGTAATCATTGGGTTTCAAAGCTTCTCTTTTATGCCTCAATTCCTGTCTTCGATTTTCCTTGGCACTACTTAGTTTTTGTGCCCCATTACCTAAACATTTCACCAATCCTATTTGTTTGAATGTGTGGGTTTCCCGTAAACACTAGTATTTAACTTCCCATCTTCCTTCTTTTCTGTGCTTAAGTCTAAGATTGGTAGCTCCTCTTCCTGACTTTCCAATTCATAAGTGAATTGAATTGCCTCCACCTTCGAGTTGATGTTTTCGAAAAATCTATCTATATCCTGTGTTCTAAGTAAAGTGAATGTGTCATCTACATGCCTCCACAACACTTTAAGGATGGGACTGAACGTTCCAATTGCTAAGCTCTCCCATCTACCCATGAATATATCTGCCACTGTCAGGGATATCGACGACCCCGTGGCAACTCCCTCAGTTTGTATATTTCCCTCTGAAATTCAAATAATTTAGAAGTCAGGCATAGCAGAACTCCTAGCATTATGTTTTCTAGTGCCACTTTTGTTTTAAGTTCCATTTTTCGGTCAGAAATGAGTCTATCAGTTGACCCGAATAAGATAAGAAATCTGGAGAATATTTCAGTCAAACAGAGCACTACATGCGAATACACACAACCATGCAATGCAACAGGATGGGAAAAGATGACATTTCGAAAATCTAATAAAACAGGATGGAAGGACAGATTGAGAAACGGAAGCTTTATTCATCATCGAATCAACTGAAAATACTTGCAATGAAAATGATTCGACACCTGTCCACTCTCCTGAACATCTGGAAAATTCTACTACCCCTACGATGAATAGTACTAAATAAAGAAAGGTATGAAACAGGAGTTTCGAAATTGTGTAGTTCTAATTGGCGATATGATTATGGACAATAAATATAGTGAATAGAGTTCGCAACTTTGTCATCCAGTAAATAACACTGCTTTGCACTGTGTGTGATATATCTCATAAACAAATTGATATGGAATTATAGCACCCTTTATTGATCCACTGTTATCTTTTCTTAGCCAAGCGGGGAAATTTTCCTTGACTCTTTTGGATAAAACACGCATCGAACGACTTATATATCTCGCTTCACATGAGCAGGTTAATTGGTAGTTACACACAGAAGTGGTTAGATGCGATAGTTTATCTTTGGATTCGTTGAAGAACAGTGGGCAGCTTGGGAATGCCAATCATAATGTAGCAGGAGGGAATCTTCTTTTCAGGGCATTAGATATTCTCCTCTTTAGGATGTTGGCCATAAGGTCGCCTTTGAACTCCACATTCATGTACAGCATCTTATAAGGCACAGAGATGGGTTGTTCTTTGTTGATTTTGAGCTTTATATGTTTATCTATAAAGCGTGGTGGATAACCATTCTCAAGTAGTGTCTTCTTCAAAAAGGGTGATCTCCTCTTCTACTGATTTGGGACTGCATATTCTGTGGATTCTAGTTGCAAGGGATATTAACAGGTTCCGCTTGCGATTGATGGGTACCCAAATGTAAAGGTTTTTCAGCTGGCCGTTCCATGTAGACTTCCAATATATTGATCTCTTTAGGGTACCATCAGTCTTCTTGCTTGGTTGGACGTCCAGAAATGAGCTTGTCTCTCCGATTTCTGCTTCATTTGTAAATTTGATGGTTGGGTGGTAGCTATTGAAAACTTGAAGGACATTATTCAGGTATGGAATTGCTTACTACCACTTAACGCAAATTTACACGCATATTAACTATGAAGTGGATTTCATCAGGTGAGATAGATGTGAGGCCACTTCAATGGTTGAAAGGAATAGTCAAATTCCGATGATTTAGAATCCGTCACTGAATGCTACCCGGCTAATCTCTTTACTCGATATCTGAATATTTGATTCTTTGTGAAAGTTTGAGTTGAATAATTCAGAACTCAAACTGGTTCTATCGATTTTCTCCCGCCTAATAGTTGATTTTGAGATAGGAGAGGTTTAAAAATAAAACACCTTTATCAACTAACGCACCAGTGACTTTGAAATGATCAACTAGGCTCCTAAAGAGGTTATATTTGGAGTACCTAGCTGAACTTCAACCACGATCGTCGCCTAAACTAGCCTCAAATTCACATTTCTTTCATCACCTGTTTGCTTTATGGTTCTGCAGTCACGCTCTGATCGAGCGTTCCGGTGATGACTGGTGTGTGTCTCCTCATCTGTTATACTTCAAAACCTCCTTCAAATAAAACCTAGTTTCTCACAAATATTTATTTTTATGAGTTAGTTTGTAGGAGTTTCATTTGTTTCAAATTTGCCCGCAGATTGATATCAGTTAGAAAACCATCGAAGACCAGCAGAGAATACTAGACAGCTGTTTTGTCCTAACTTGTGAATCTTCAACGGCATACATCCACCTATCGGGTTTAGGAGCCATGACCTTCCGGTAACAAGGGAAGCTGATGGATAATTCAGCTACTGGCATATGAATTCTAGCTTCTACCAATTCGTGGTTTTTTATGCTACTAGAACCAGTGAATGTTGTCGCTGGCGAGTATTTGCCTTCACACCCCACCGGTCATGACTACTGACTAGAACTCCAAACTACTTCGTTCTTTAGCAAGTCACACTAGTGAACATCAAACTGGTCTATTTCAAATGTCTCAGTGGTCCACTAGTTTGCCGTGTAGTCGGAAGGTCCTGGGTACAAACTACAATAGTTGCGTGCAGATAATGAAGGAAGAGACCCAGGCTGCGACGAAACAGCTATTCAGTACTCCCTGATTTCTTATGCTTCGGTAATTGACACCAATTCATGATCAAACTTGAAATATTTACTTGTTGATTAATTTTCAAGTATTGGTTTTGTAGGGATTTTGTTTGATTGGATGGGTTCGAACCCAGGTGGGCCCGTACCGATGAAGAGTCCCAAATTATGATGAAACAGTTGTTGAATAATATTTTTCTCTAGTTTATTTTGGTTTTACGGTTTTCTGTCACATTACTACTCGTATTTTTCCTTCTTTTTTCTTTTCTTTGTTTTCAAGGAAACATTTATTACATGATATATCAAAATGAAATAGACATCATGAAAGAGATTTTTGTCAAGGGACCAGTAGAAGCTGCTTTCAATGTATACCTTGACTTTCTCAGTTATAAATCTGGAATCTACAAGCACATAACTGGACAATATTTAGGCGATGCACCAATAAGAATAATCGGTTGGGGTGAAGAAAATCATACACGTTATTGGTTATGCTCACATGTATGGAATGAAGATTGGGGTGAGAAAGGCTATTTTAGAATTCTACGTGGTAAAAATGAATGTGCAATTGAAAGTTCAATTGTTGGTGGTGAAGCACGAAAATAATCTATTCTAATGTATCATCTTATTTTTCTTTTTGAGTTAAGTTAATACATATTAAATTTTTAAAAAAGAATTTCTATCATACGAACTAGTTTGTTCTGTGTTAAATTGACTAAAGGGGAATTGGACATTGAATACTGCGACTGACTGGTTTCCACGTAGAACCTTGCGCAGAAGTTCATCTGTTCGAATTGCCACACTTCATGTAGTACACTAAAGGAGACAAAAGAGAGAATAAAAGATATTCAAAGGAACGGTTATTATTGTTTATTATCGTTTCCTATAGTTCCTAGAGGAAAATAGGGCTTCAGCCACTCGTCTCGATTGGGTTAGGTTCTCTGCCAACTTTTTTTCACCTGGCTACACACGTCTGCCTACATGCGTGCTTTCCCTCTTCACATGACCTCCTTCATGTCACCCCACTCTCGCACTGACGATCAACTCGCCGCTTCCCATTCGGGTTCCACTCGAATGATGGCCTGGTGTGTGATGTCACTCATTTGATGGTTTGTTTTCTCAGAGTATGGCCAGCCAATCCACCTCCATTTCTTCCTGCATATTTCCTGCACAATTGGTTCCTGCTGGTTTGGTTCGTTAGTTCATTGCCAGAGATCATTCCCTGTTGCTGATCTTTTCTGGCTAGCCGACTGATCTTGAGTAGTATTGAGCGAAGACAGCTGTTGGTGAAGGTCTGTAGTTTGTTTGAAGTGCCCTTCGTGACGCTGCGCAACACCAAGTCTCTGATCCGTATAGTAAGTAACACTGTCTTCACATTGGAGTTGAAAATCTTCATCTTGTTTTTAATGCTTAATGCTGTTGATCTTCACACAGACTTGATAGAAATGAAAGCCTGACTTGCTTTCCCGATCCTCTCTTTGATATCCTCATCAGTTCCGTCCGCCTGTAGTTGAAACGATGCTTCACAGGTAGGTGGGTAGGTAAAGCGGGTTGCTTCTTTCAGACTCCTCCCATTTATGCTGATTGTTGTCTGTTGTTGTTGCTGCTGTCTCTTTTGGCCAGGAATCTTCATCACATCTGTTTTCTCTATGTTGATCTGAAGTGAGTCCTATCTTTGATGCTTCTTCTGCCAACTTGTTGCTTTTCACTTGCATATCTTCCAGTTTGTGGGAAATCAGACATATATCATCGACGAAATCGCGATCCAGATCCTCCAAGTTTTTTGTGTGAGTCCATTTTATGCCTGTTTCCTCGCTGCCCGCCACTGTCTGTCACATTATCTAGTCTACTGCAATCAGGAAAATCATTGGAGATAGTAGGTAGCAAAACCATAGACTCGCTGACTTGGGTTAACTTGGTTATGTAAATCCAACAATATATGCAATTATAGATATTAGTTAAACAGTCACAATATACCGAACAGTTAGTTATAGGTATTATGAGTCAACAAGATTATATCCTTAGGTTCACTGTTCTAAAGTAAAATAATTACAATAAATTCCACAACTTCCTGATCAGAAACTCCAGAGAAATAAGAGTCTTATGTAACTAAGCAAATGTAGCATTCGAAAATCGCGTCCCGAAGGAACGATAATAAGCGGAAATGTGAGAAAGGATTTCTTCACCTCCTTAAGTGGCTCATGCACTGATCTCATGTCTTGGTTTGACCACCATTAGCTCTTCCCCAACGCGATTCATCCTATGTCGCCTGACAGTGCCTTCTGTCAAGGAAGGCGATCGATGACTGGACATGCGTAACACATGTCCTAACCATCTCAATCAGTCTAACTCCACAACCTCGTTGATTGATTCTTCCTGCTTACCAAAAATTCGACGCCTAACCTCAATATTATACACACCATATTATACCACCTAACACGGGAGGTGGAGTGCAGGCACCTGTGATCAAAGACAGTCGTCATCTAGATATGCAATAATCTCCAAATGAGTGTACGTACCTCACCCAATCTCAGTAGCGAAATGAGCTGGATTTTATCATCTGCGACATACTCAGACAGACACCATGCTTTGGAGTATCCAACACCACTCGTGATTTTCTTCGTCAAACGTTTCATGTGAAAATTTACAAGGCTATGGAATTCTAAACCAATGTCAAATGTATAAACCACTTGCGCCTATAATCTCCAAGTGCTGAATACTGGTAAACTAGGAGTCAACACGGATAGGCCAGAAATTAGGAAATCGTATTCGACAGAATTACTTTGTTTGTGTACGTAGACTAAGGAGAAACAAACACCAATGAACAAGTAAAACAGTATGGTATCAAAAACGATCACTGAACATTTGAACTTGTAGTAAAAGAAAAGGTTTGTCGTAGGTGGTCTTCTCCAGAGTAGTTTCAACCTCAGCTTTCACAACCCTCACTATTGCCAAGACCACATTCAGAACCGAGTGTTCATCATGGTGAATTTCCTTATTGTGTTCTTTTGAGTCCCAGTTTGTCACCCATCTGAAGTTAACCAAGAATGAAAAGAAAGAAGTCGTATACAGGTTAACGTAGACGATATACAAAAAGCTACTACTGTGGCGAGTGCTACTGACGAAATTTATCAGTAGTATATAGAGAGACTTTCACTTGCATAAAAATATCGAATAGTGGAGGGAGGGAGGGATTTGATTTCAAAGAAAGTAAATGAACCAATATTGCGGCAAAACAATGTGGGACACGTAAAAAAGACGAAGAAATACAATACGCAAGGCACAAGTAGCACAATGTCGAAGATCTGTGGGAAGGATGATTTTCAAATAAGGTATACATGATTTCCCTGCATTTGTATGTCAAACTGATGATAAACATTCCGTTACCAACCGCTGTGGAGTTTTCCCTCAACAATATTTAGTAAACGAACTCTTAAGGCGAAGTTAAGATTTGTCGGTATGCTGTAAATGACTTTGAAAGCCTGGTTAACATCAATCTTGTGTTCTGTATTCACAAGATGGGATAGAATAGCGCTACGAATAGATTTCGTTTGTCCTTTACTTAATCACGCAGCGTGGTGTTGTGAAATTCGACAAGGAACAAGCCTAATTGTATGGCATCACATGGAAGATACACATGGAAGAGGCGAAATTAGGCTGTTTATCTTTTACTACCGAAAGCAAAATAACGTGGTTTTGAAGACACAGCGTAATTTAGCAGCAGAGAATCCTCTTTTTACAGCATATTTTGGTATTATTAATAATATTATTATTATTTCATTAATTGAGGTAAATCATGGTCATGAATTAACCAAATATACTCATACTACTTACTCGTGATAAGTAGTATAAACTTTTAAGAAAAAGAAAAAGGAACAAAGGAAAGGTCACAATGGAACTAATACATTCTGTCGTAGCTACAAAAAAATCTCTTTTGCTGAGACAAGTGAAATTAGGAAATATTTCGTGACAGACAACTAGGTCCAACATACTTTCACTACAAAGAGGTGTCTGAATGTATTGCTTCCATCCAAAGTTATCAATGTTACCATATGTTTCGTTGAAGTACTAAAGGCCGCAACCATTTGCTGAGTCGATTTCTGGGAGACTATGGTCTCCTGAAATTACTTTGGAATTAACACATTACGGGAAGGTATATGAGAAAGAATTCTCTACTAGTGAGCCCGTTTCAGAGATGCTTAAGAATCTGGTATTTGTCACCATATCAGAAGATCCGTAGTAAATCAGTTACTGCATTCACTGTCTTATTTTCAACTTTATTAACCACAACGGAATCATATATTTAAATAAGGCATCCTCCTCAACGCTGGCAACCTCGGTTCGTGCGTCCATTATGGAAAAGATTTTATTTTGATAAATCAGGCAGTATTATACAGTGATATTAACTGATGACCATGTTTCGAGCTGGTCTTCTAGTTAGTTCTGCATGCCATTGTCGAAACCGGCATTGTGGAATTTGTAAGTAATTTGAAAATTCCCATTCAGTCATAGAAAAGAAAAGGCGTTCAGCAAAGAGTTACTCTTTTCGGCGATATCATTCTCAAGCTGTACAAACTGCAAATTTATAGTAATTTTTCTTGGCAACAAAAGGAATATTTCCAAAGATGTGTTAATGCAATTGTTAATTTTTTGACAACAAATTATGTAATTTAGAAGGCGTTAATCGGTTAGAAACTAAAATAAAGTTACAAAAGTAGGTTGGGTGACGTAATCTAATTGCTAGGGTTCAATGAAAAATGAATGAGAGTCAAGTTGATAAGCTGAGTAGAATTCACTTGAAAATGAATGAGAGTTAAGTTGATAAGCTGAGTAGAATTCACTTAAAAATAAACGAAAATGGAGTTAGCAACAGTCGTCATGAGGGTAGAGATTTAATAGAGGGTAGGGGTAGAAAATAATGCAATTAAGAAACAGACAAACAAAGAAGAAAGAGGTAAGACAAAATTACGTATTTGGTGTTGAGATAGATCAGGACCATTGTAGATTTAGTGACTGAACAAACTTCTTTTGCAATTCACATATTGAATCCTGAACTCTGCGTACAAAAGAAGTTTGTTCAGTCACTAAATCTACAATGGTCCTGATCTATCTCAACACCAAATACGTAATTTTGTCTTACCTCTTTCTTCTTTGTTTGTCTGTTTCTTAATTGCATTATTTTCTACCCCTACCCTCTATTAAATCTCTACCCTCATGACGACTGTTGCTAACTCCATTTTCGTTTATTTTTAAGTGGATTCTACTCAGCTTATCAACTTAACTCTCATTCATTTTCAAGTGAATTCTACTCAGCTTATCAACTTGACTCTCATTCATTTTCAAATGAATTCTACTCAGCTTATCAACTTGACTCTCATTCATTTTCAAGTGAATTCTACTCAGCTTATCAACTTGACTCTCATTCATTTTTCATTGAACCCCAGCAATTAGATTACGTCACCCAACCTACTTTTGTAACTTTATTTTAGTTTCTAACCGATTAACGCCTTCTAAATTACATAATTTGTTGTCAAAAAATTAACAATTGCATTAACACATCTTTGGAAATATTCCTTTTGTTGCCAAGAAAAATTACTATAAATTTGCGGTTTGTACAGCTTGAGAATGATATCGCCGAAAAGAATTTGTAAGTGTTTTTCAGCTCCAGGATTTAGGGACTACGACATTTGA